GAGGCACAAGAATTGCTTGAATCTGGAAGGCAGAGGCTGCAGTGAGCTGAGATGACGCCACTGCACTCCAGCCCAGGCAACAGAACCAGACTGTGTCTCAACAACAACAAAAAAAAGTGGTTTCTAAATGAAACAAAGCTGCATTCACATCTCAGATCTGATATTTACTAGATCTGATCTGGTATGCAAAACTCTGGGCATCTCCTTTTCCCAAGTGCACAGTTACCCTGGAAATGACAGCAGGTCTCTTTGGCAAAGATTAGGAAGAATATTCACAGTAAACACTTGCAAAATATTGCAAGATTCTTCCTAATGGGTAAAATGTTTTTTTCATTTCAGAGCTTCTAGGTCTGACTCAGGGCTGAAAATTGGATGAGGGGCCTGATTCTCTGCCACGATGGCTCATTTTAAGCTCCTGTTCATTCATTCATTCACTCAACAAGTATTTATTGGGCATGTCTATGTGACACAAACTGTTCTAGGTGTTTGGGATGCATCACTGAATAAACAGTCTAAAATCCTTGCCATCACAGACCTTATACTCTCCGGTAGAATCTTATTGAATGACCACACATTTTTTTAAGGAACCCCATGACCAATAACCACCACAAAGAATCTATGGGTTAGATCATTTGGATATCTGCACGGGCTCAACTGCCTATTATGATAACTACTCTTATTTTGTTTTTGATGGTTAATACGATCTCCAGTAGAAATCAGAGCCAATTTCAACTACAACACATCTTTTTCAGCATCTGTGGTTATCCCCATTGTGCCACTACTGCTAGTACCACCACTATTGAGTGTTTGTTGTCATAGGCACTGCCGTGCATAACCTCTCATTGCTCCTGAGCTTCTGAGTCTTCCTTCAAGATGAAAAGTTTTGGGCTGGTCATGGTAACTCACGCCTGTAATCCCAGCATTTTGGGAGGCTGAGGCTGGTGGATCACTTGAGTCCAGGAGTTTGAGACCAGCCTGGGCAACATAGTAAGACCCCACCTCTATTAAAAAATGATTTTTAAAATTAAATGTGTATATATTCTATATTTAATTATATATTATATATTTAATTTTAAAAATTAAATGCAGGCCGGGTGCGGTGGCTCACGCCTGTAATCCCAGCACTTTGGGAGGCTGAGGCAGGTGGATCACGAGGTCAGGAGATCGAGACCATCCTGGCTAACACGGTGAAACCCCATGTCTACTAAAAATGCAAAAAATTAGCCGGGCGTGGCGGCAGGCACCTGTAGTCCCAGCTACTTGGGAGGCTGAGGCAGGAGAACAGCGTGAACCCTGGAGGTGGAGCTTGCAGTGAGCCGAGATCGCGCCACTGCACTCCAGCCTGGGCGACAGAGTAAGACTCTGTCTCAAAAAAAATAAAATAAAATAAAATAAAAATTAAATGCATATATCATATACTTAATTTTAAAAATTACATTTATATATCATATATTTAATTTTAAAAATTAAATATGCATTATATATAATTAAATATGAATTTATAAATATAAATGTATATACATAAAGAAAAGTTCTGGGTGGAGGGTCTGACTGCTGAGTCTAGGACAGGGTATCCATGTCCTTACTGCCAGGGCCAAGAGAGGGACTGTCTGGTCCCCTCTGTCATCCATAGTGGGAGACAGTCCCTCCAAGACTCACGCAATAAATTTTCACTCCAAATAAAACAAATGGTCAGAGAGTGAGTGACCAAAAGTTTTTTGAGATATATACACATATCTCTATGTTAACTGAATTCTGTGCTGAGTCACATGCATCTAAGTTTAACAGGAAGAAGAACTACATGATGTTTACTGGGTGCTTGGACAATACTTATATACTTTTCCTGCTCTTCTCTCTATCCCTCTACCACTTCGTTTAAATGGGTCATTCAATACCAAATGGAGAGCAAGTGCCCTTCCAGGCTCATGTAAATATGGTGCCCTCTGGTGCATGGTGTTGAACATTACACTTTTCTTTTCAAAACTCCACTCTGGAATTTGAAGGTTTTGTTTTTGTTTTTCCCCAGACATAATCTTCAGTTCGTTTTACTTTCCAAAGTAATTAGGATCACTGTCAGAGTGCTCACACCTGCTGTGACATGAGGAGTACAGAAAGGCCCTTATCATACAAATAGTAGATCTGCTTATTCCACCATCGTATCTGGCCTTAACTATAATTCTTTGTGGCTTTGCAGGCCCCTGCTAATATTATTTTACCTGGAAGACACATGTTGTGAGATATAATATTTGGAGGCAATCATTTACTACAAGAGATGAATTTGTTAGTATTTAACAAGGCTTCAAAAGTACTCAAAATGGAACGGGTCTAAGGGTTAACACGTGGTTTTGGTATTTCTTCAACTTTCATCTTTGTGGAGAAATAATATTTTAAAATACTAATACTTGGGTTTTGCTTCCCAACCCTTACAGATGACTTTTCCTCTATTTAGTCAAAGATATTGCATCAAGATTAGGTCAGATTATAATAGCAAAAAACAAGAAGTCAATTTTAGGTTAAAAAATCTAAAATATGCTCTTAATATCAAAAAGGGGAGGTGTCGCCTGGCGTGGTGGCTCATAGCATTTTGGGAGGCCAAGGCTGGAAGATCACTTGAGCCCAGGAGTTTGAAACCAGCCTGTGCAACATGACAAGACCCAGTCTTTACAAAAATCAAAAAGAAAAAACAATTCGCTGGGTGTGGTGGTGCCACCTGTAATCCCAGCTACTGGGGGTGACTTGTGGGTTGTGTGGGAGCTGAGGCAGGAGAACTGCTTGAGCCAGGAGGTCGAGGCTACAGTGAGCTGAGATGGTGCCACTGCATTTCAGCCTGGGTGATAGAGCAAAACCCTCTCTAAAAAAAAAAAAAAAAAGTCAGGGGGAGGCCTGAGTGAAGTAGAAACCAACTTTACCATATCAATGGGAAAGCAGGTACAGAGGAGCAGATTCCCTGCCCCCTCAGCCTCAAGGGTACTAGAGGAGGTTCAACAAAGCTAGAGGAAGAAGGAGCTGCAAGGCTTGGCCAAGGCAAATATATCCAAGGTTGTGGGGGAGAAGCAAGGGGCTGGGAGCCAGAGGTGACAACCAGGAAAAGGGCAGAACCTACAGGGGATGCTGCAGAGCTCCACTGGTCCCCAGGACCAGAGAGAAGCACGGAAGCTGAACGGCACCTGAGGCATATTTTATTTCCACACCAGGGACCGCTGTTCATCTCCAGCGGGGAGCAGCGTTGTTGCCTGATCGTTCCAACGACGCAAGTGTCAGCCTTCTGTGGAAGCTGCCTGCTGGTCACATGCCGAACATCCAGCACACGCATGCCATCCCATATTCTGAGACGTGGCTGAGTCCCCACCTCTCAACGACATTGGGAAGCACCCTCCACCCCCACAATAACTCAGAATGCCCACCAACCCCCAAAACCAGGGGGTGAAGGTCCCTGACAATCAAACAACTCATTCCTGCTGCACCTTCGCTTTTGGCTGAGAAAATTAAAAAGGAAGAGTAGGGCCAGAACCAAAGGATGCATTTGCTCTAGGAACTAGAAAAAAAAAGGAAACAAGAAGGATGATAATACTCGAGAGTCCCTGCTCTCACCCTCCTCTGTCCTAACTGGATGCTTTAGTTTTGTCAGTAGTGTGGGAAGCTTGACAGATTCTTCATGTTCTGGAGAAAGCAGGGGAGTGGCCGGGCACAGTGGCTCATGCCTGTAATCCCAGCACTTTGGGAGGTCGAAGCAGGTGGATCACGAGGTCAGGAGTTGAAGACCAGCCTGGCCAACATGGTGAAACCCCACCTCTACTAAAAATACAAAGATTAGCCGGGCCTGGTGGCGGGAGCCTGTAATCCCAGCTACTTGGGAGGCTGAGGCAGGAGAATCGCTTGAACCCAGGAGGTAGAGGTTACAATGAGCTGAGACTGTGCCACTGCACTCCAGCCTGGTGAGACTCTGCCTAAAAAAAAAAAATAAAAAAAAAAATAAAAAAAAAAAAAAGCAGAGGAGAAGCAGAAGTGGAGGCATGAAGGCACTCTTTGCAAGTCCCCAATAATTAAACTCTATTTGGAGTTCTACCCTCCTTGACACCCAGCTATAGCATTATGTGACATAGTTAAATATCTAGCTACCTTAAGCCACTTTCTTAACCCTTTTGAGTTTCAGATTACTCAGCTCTAAACCTCTCTGATAAGACATTTGTGAGGATTAAGAAGAAAAATATGCAGCATAAACAAGCCATTGAACTTTATTATACATGAGAACCAGAAAGGAGTGGTTCCAGAAGAGTCTACTGCTTGGGAATCAATGAGATATGTACAGAGCAATGGGCTGAAAGGCCTGGAAGAAGAATTTTCCAGACTCTACACATGGGGAGACTGGGCTGAAGAAAGTCTGGAAGCAGACGAGCCTCTGAGCTCTCACTACATGCAGGGTGTTGCTTTGCTCTATTAAACCCTGCAGAGGGCCGGGCATGGCTGCTCACATCTGTAATCCCAGCATTTTGGGAGGTAGCGGCAGGCAGATCACTTGAGCCCAGGAGTTCGAGACCAGCCAGGACAACGTAGGGAAAACTCATCTCTACAAAAATAAAAAATTAGCTGGGCATGGCATGATGGTTTGCACCTGCAGACCCAGCTACTGGGGAGGCCGAGAGGGGAGAATTGCTTGAGCCCAGGAGATTGAGGCTGCAGTGAGTGGTGATTGCATCACTGCACTCCAACTGGACAATTGAGTGAGACCCTGTCTAAACAAAAACAAAAACAAAAAATCCTGCAGAAGAAGTTACCTTCAAGGGTTCAATGTTTCATTTGATAAATCACAAAGTAATCAAAGGAAAGACCTCAAGAACATTCTAGGACTTTTGTAAAGTCAAAAACAGTCTCTTCAATATGAGAATTGAAGAGGTCCAGAACAAGAAAGAATGAAGAGGTGGTTATTGTAATGGGTAGATTATTATGTACTAAATATGACTAGTAGTAGGAATTCTATGTGCTGGGTGAAGGATATTTATAAAAAGGCCCAAAGGCAGGATATCATGAATTTATTTTAATGTCCTCATGGGAGGAGAATGAGGGATGCAGAGACGTGCAGGGCACACAGATTACTGTTGCTAGAATTGAGGAGAGAGGGGAGGGGAAGGAAATACTTGGGGATCTAAGAGTGAGGGTCACAGTTGCATGCCTTGTTTCATTCTCCTGTCCTCTGCACACTGCTCAGGAAATGAGACTGAGAGAAACCAGAAGGGGAAGGAGGGTATGCCTGTCCCAGAGAAGTCTGATGCCTCAGGATGAGACACCTCTGAAAGAAGGATGCAGGATTCTCCTCTCTGGCAGCTCCATCTCCCACAACTTCTCATGCAGATGTCCTGGAGTATGCAGGCAATGAGAACCAATTGTGGCACATCCAGGTTCAGGCCTTAACAAAAATGTAGCAATACCACCAAAAGGAGAAGCCATAGATCCAGATCATCAAAATGGCACTGAAGATCACATGCCAGCAGAAGAAGGTGGTGACAAACATAATGTCATTTCTGTCATCATCCATCCATTGATAGCCAGAGATTGGTTTGAACAGCATAAAGCCTATGTGCATCAGCCAAGAGCCTGTGATCATATACAAAAAGGCCTTCAGGATCCAGAGCAGCAGCATGTTGGGAGCCCATAGCTCTGCGGTCACCATCAGAGTCAGCAGGAACATGGCCTGGGTGAGCAGCACGTGAGACTGAAGCTCCACTCCTTCTGTGTCCTGCAGGTGAGACACCATCAGGGGCAGAAATATGAACATGCCCAGAGCTTGGGCACCTTGCTCCAGAGCAGCACATCTCTTAGGCAGCAGGTTCTGGCTCACCATGTCTACACACCCACTCAGCAAGAAAGTCATATAGAGAGTGAGATGCTGCCACTGTTTGCGGAACATAAAGTTCCTCTGATGATACATCTTGCTGATAAGTACAAACTGTCTAGGAATGCTGTGCAACTCTTGGGCTACTAAAATGCAGGCACTCAGTATCTTCAGCAACCCAATGTAGTATATTTGCCATAGCCTTGCCCATCTTCCTTTGCTCCAGGGATGGCGTGGTGGATACTGGACAGGGGCATTGCATATCAAGGCTCTGGAGACAAGTTGTGCATGATAAAGTCCGTAGAAGAAGAAAGACAGCCCTGGGTACAGATGACCCTCAAAGCCTCCCATTGAACTGAAAGTAGGTCTGATCAAAGGCAGAAGCAAAAGGCTCAGGAATGACCATTCACGCAGGGCCACCTCAGGCTCTAGAATGTGGAGGGAGCCTCCTGCGGCTTACTTATATTCTCTATCCAGCCCACTGAATCCACATACAGAAAGGAAATGGTTTTGGAGGAGGCCCAAACCTATGGTGGGGTGGGTATCATGGTTTCCGTCTGGTCTTCTGCTCTGGTTCATTGGTAATCAGCAAACCGTTGACAAACAATGAAATAAGCATATTCTCCAGCATAATGCTTGGGTGTCTGCCATTCTCAGAGATCATGTTTAGAGGGGCCCCCTCTTGCCTCTCCTCCCGCTAACCCTTGACCACATCAATACCTTCCTTACCTCACTCCTGTACTAGTCTGTTCAGGCTACTATAACAAAATACTATAAACTTGTAACTTATAAACACCAGAAATTTGGCTAAATGCAGTGACTCATGCCTGTAATTCCAGCATTTTGGGAAGCTGAGGTGGGAGGATTGCTTGAGCCCAGGAGTTTGAGACCAGCCTGGGCAACATGGTGAGACCTCATCTCTACCCAATAAAAAAACAAAAAAATTATTTTAAAATTAGCTGGGTGCAGTGGTGTGCACCTGTAGCCTCAGCTATTCTGGAGGCTGAGGCAGGAGGATCCCTTTAGCCCAGGAGGTCAAGCCTGCAGAGAGCCATGATCACCTAATCTTGTGGCCTTTCATTAGTCTTACAAAGGTAGTTTCAGGCTGGGTATGGTGGCTTACGCCTATAATCCCAACACCTGGGGAGGCCGTGGTAGGTGGATTACTTAAGATCCAGAGTTCAAGACCAGCCTGGCCAACATGGTGAAACCCCATCTCTACTAAAAGTACAAAAATTAGCTGAGCATGGTGGTGCATGCCTGTAATCCCAGCTACTCAGGAGGCTGAGGCAGGAGAATCACCTGAACCCAGGAGGCGGAGGTTGCAGTGAGCAGAGACTGCACTACTGCAGTGCAGCCTGGGCTATAGAGTGAGACTCTGTCTCAGACAAACAAACAAACAAAAAAACAACAAGAAAAACAAAGGTAGTTTCAGTCTCCAGACAAGGAGGGAGTCAGTTTTAGGGAGGGACTGTTATCTTTCTTGCTTCAAAGTTACACTGTAAACTAAATTCCTCCCACGGGTTAGCTTGGCCTATACCCAGGAATGAGCAAGGACAGTCAGCCTGTGAGTCTAGATGCAAGATGGAGTCAGTTAGGTTAGATTTCTCTCACCGTTGTAATTTTTTCAAAGGCAGTTTCACTGTGATTTGAATACCCACTCCAAGACTCATGCTGGAATGTAATATTGCCATAGTGACGGTATTAAAAGGTAGGACCTTTAAGGGGTAATTAGGTAATGAGGGTTCCACTCTCAAGAATGGATTAATGCCATTATCACAGGAGTGGATACTTAGTGGGTCCCTCATACACAGAATGAGTTCTGCCCAATTTCCTCTCTCTCTCTCTCTCTCATGCACTCACTCACCATGTGATGCCTTCTGTGATGCCCCTCACTCACCAGATGCTGGTGCCATGCTCTTGGACTTCCAAGCCTCCAGAGCTGTGAGTCAAATAAGCTTTTGTTCTTTATAAATTACCCAGTCTGTGATATTCTATTATAGCAACAGAAAACAGAATAAGTAAATAAATAAGAATAAATAAATAAATACTTTAAGTTTACAACAAGTAAGCTTTCCAGGCAGTTCTTTCCACTCCATCTCCACCCACTGCCCGTGTTCAGGTATCACCAACTCTGAGTTATTGAAACATGTCTAATCAGGTTCGAATACTCATCTGTTCCTTTCCAAATAACAGATAGATGAGCTTTGGGAATTGAGAGCTAATCACGATATTGACTAATTTAAGTTATCCAGTGGAATCTCATGGCCTTGTAGATAAAATCCATGCCTTTAGAATAAGCTTCAAGGAGCCTTATGCTTTGGCCTGGTCTCATTTCCAGTCCCTTCCCATATGTGCCATTGCCCCAGGCTTATCAGAAGCTTCTAGTTCAACCTGGAATCCTCTTTCTATCCTCTACACCATCTATATCTGGAGAACTCCTCTTCTTCCTTTTTCCTTCAAGGTTCAGCTTAAGCACTGCCTCCTCCCAGCCGGGCAGAATACTTCTGTCTGCAACTTGTACATATCTGTATCATTGTGCTGGTTATGCCATTTCATAACTGTTTATTTATGGAGATGTCTATAAAGTCAGAGACTATGTCTTGTCATCTTTGCCTCTTTAGTATCTAGCCCCATGCCTGGAAGTGCTCAATAAATGTTTGATGGATGAATAAGTGAGTAAACTATCAAATTATCATGTAGTCTCTACCATAAAAGGCTTTATAATCTAGTTATGAAGACAGAACAGATACATACAAACAATGTCAGGTCACTGTTTGCTAAGTGCTAAGTGCCAAATGAGTGGAAAAAATGACCAGAGCTATGCAATTAAAGAAGAGTGCTCACTCCAACTGCAGAATCAGGGCATATATGATCATTCTTAGTTAACAAGATGAAGAGTCTATGATATGAGAGTTCAAACCTTGACTCCTTTGTCTTTGGGCACAGAGTTGCAGAATGAAAAGATGTGGAACACTTGGCTTAATTATAACTTCTCAGCCAGAGACACAGACCTTTTTGCATAAACCAGTGTTTTCTAACACTTTTTTTTTCATATTTGTGCCCCTAAGAAGCCTTTTCAACATGTTTCTACTCACCACATTCTCCCTATGAAGACTTAACATCACTCTGCGTGTCCAAAGGTGGCAGGAGCAGGGAGTTGTTGCTATTGAGCCAGATGTACCACTGACACCTAGGATGGGGATGCAGCAAGTGGTCAAACTTACCAACTGATGTTGCACAACCTTTACACATGGCCTCTACCTGACCTGAGACAACCCTCCAGGTATGCTTGTGGATGACACCGAGGCACCATTAAGAAATGCTTCAGCTGGGCACAGTGGCTCACGCCTGTAATCCCAGTACACTGAGAGGCTGAGGTGGGTGGATCACCTGAGGTCAGGAGTTCAAGACCAGCCTGGCCAACATGGCAAAACCCCGTTTCTACTAAAAATACAAAAGTTAGCCGGGTGTGGTGGCGCACACCTGTAATCCCAGCTACTCAAGAGACTGAGGCAGGAGAATTGCTCCGACCCAGGAGGCAGAGGTTGCAGTGAGCCAAGATGGCGCCACTGCACTTCAGCCTGGGCGATTCCGTCTCAAAAAAAAAAAAAAAAAAAAGAAAAGAAAAGAAAAGAAAAGAAAAAGAAACACTTTAAGGTGCTCCTGACCTAATAATTGTGACCTCTCCTCTGAGGATCTCTTAAATTTCCTGTTTCTTCTGATGCCTGCTACCCCTCAGAAACTCTGTAAACAAAGTCTTCAATCTGTGAGGCATGAAGCCTTTTTACCAGTCGTGCCCTTTGGAATTCATTCTTATCAAGGTCTTTGATCATGCTTGTGTGAGGCAATCATGGTAGCATCTCCCATGAAGGGAACAAGTTTGACTCTTTTCTTCATATTTTAAATCAATACCAGGTTATTAAAGATAAAATGGGTCTGGTGCAGTGGCTCGTACCTGTAATTCCAGCACTTTGGGAGTGTGAAGTGGGAGGATTGCTTGAAGCCAGTAGTTCAAGATCAGCCTGGACAAAAAAGCAAAACCCCATCTCTGCAAAAAACAAATTAAAAATTAGCCAGGCATGGTTACACTAGCCTGTAGTCCTAGGAGGCTGAGGTAGGAGGATCCCTTGAGTCTAGGAGTTCAAGGCTGCAGTGAGCCATGATCCTGCCACTGCACTCCAGCCTAGGTGACACCCAAACCCAGTCTCAATAAATAAATAAATAATAAAGATAAAGATAAACTAATTTGAAAGAAAAGAAATTACTTATTTGTGTATAAAAGGAACACCCCAGAAACCTTAACCTACTCCACTGCAATTCATCGAATATTTCTTAACCAACTATAATCAGCCCGATCCTGTACTAAAAGCTGGCATTAAAAAGATACATAAAATATGTTACCCATATTCTTAAGGAATTCAAGAACAGTACCTTTTGAATTCTTTAAGGCTAAGTAACATATTTTACGTATCTTTGTAATAGCAGCTTCCAAGGTATGGTCCATAGGCTACCAGTATCACCTGGGAACTTGTTAAAAATGTAGAATCCCAGGCCCCATTCCAGACCTACAGAATCTGAATTTGCATTTTACCAAATCCCTAGTTGATTTGTATGCATATAAAGTTTGAAAAGGACTGATTAGCAGAAAAGACTGAACTAAAATCATCTTGAATTTAATTTTATAATGGTGGTATTTTTAAAAAGTGCAATGGGAACACAGAGGAGGATGTGGTTAATTTTGGTGGGGGAAAGTTAGGGAAATCCTTATGCAACAGTAGACATTTGCATTGAAATTTAAGTGGAACAGGCCAAGAACTTGGGGGTGGGGAGCGGGTGAGCATAGGAGTATTCTGGTTGTGAGGTGGGAGATAGGCCCCCTGAAGAGCCAACCTAGGACAGAGGGAGCAAGATCTCACTCAGGGATGGATGGTCACACCCAGCCTATCAGTGCCACGCTCCCCTTAGCACTGATACAGACGAGGCTGGGGAGTCTCTCATGATCCTTGTCACCAGAATACACTAGGAGCTGATCAGTTTGTGGACAGGGAGAGGGCTCTTCCCAGCTCCTCGCCCTCAGTGACCCCTCAGGCATGAGGGGCTGATGTTTGCACTCAGCAAAGGATGCCGAATCTCAGATCTCATGCCAGGCCACCTGGTCCCTGGCAGTAACTCTGCAGAGCGACCTTGGTAAGAAGTAGATGCACGGATTCCCACGGATTCCCGGCAGCCCAAACAGACTCTGGGGAGAGGGCTTCCCTTTCATTTGGATTGTGAGGAAAGTTGACTCTGGAGAAATTAGAGAAGTTATGAAAAATAATGAAAAGGGTTTGGGTTAGGAGTCCCAGGCT